GGAGTTTGAATGCAGACCGAAGCATCCTATCTGCTCTTTTTTTTCTTCTGTTTTGTTTTGTTTCCTCTTTCTTGTGGTTCCTTCTATTGGTTCTAATTCTTCCTTACAACATGACTAATGTGAAAATATGTTTAATAAGAATGTATATGTATAGCCTATATCAGATTGCATGCCGTCTTGGGGAGGGAGGTGGGGAGAGAAGGAGAGAAAATTTTAAAACTCAAAAGCTTATGGAAATGATCATTGATAAATCAAAATAAATTAATAAAAAAAGAAAATACAGCATAGAGGAGATCTGATAAGAGTCTCTCAATGCTCAAAGCCCTCTTGGTTTTCCAACTCTTTTCAGGACAGAACATTAGCAGTAGTGAGCATTTCTCTTCCTGTGCTGATCCTCCCTGCCCCTCTCCCTCAAAAAAATAAAAATAACAAACACAAATCCAGCCAATGCCTCCTGCCAATATTGGGGACTTTGTTGTTGTTAGGCTTCATTTTTACTTCTCAATACCGATGGAATTTCTGTCCTTATCCCTCTAGTGCTTGGACCACATCTCCTATTAGCCCCTACCATTAGCTGGAGTCTGATACTAAAAAATAAATAAAAATAGAAGAATAAAAGCAACATACAAAGACTTAACTCACATGCTTCTTAATGTTTCAAGATCAGTGATATTCAGTTGGAGTAGAGGCTGCTACAAAGACTTTGATCCCTATATGACTTAGTAGATAATCTTCAGGGGTTGATGTGGACAAAAATATCCATCACCCTGCAAGCAGCCAGCCTGGTTCTGGGCCTCTCCAAAATTAGCTAGGTTGTTCTTCAGACATCAGACATACAATTCATCACCAGGACTGTCCTTGATGCCTTTCCAATTTGGTAGGACTACCAGAGCTTGTGCTCTGGCACAGCCTGTGAGAACCCAGGGTCACCTCCACAAAATGATGATGAGGACTTTAGTGAAGGATTTTAAGAGAGGCAGATTAAGCAACACAGAAAGACAGAGATAGAGATTCAAATTATCTTCTTAAGTCCTCAGTTTACCATCAGAAAAGTAAGAAAAAGATAATTATTAAGATATACGTATATACGTATATATTTACACACATTTTACATACATACATCTATAAACACACACCTATACACATTCACACACAAAATGTAAAAGAGACCTTAACAAGTGAAGGATTTTAATTAGGTATATGGCTGGATGGATATAGATATATTTTCAAGAGTAAAATGTAAAATATATATATTCATATGTGTCTCTATACCTTTTATTTATATGTCTATGTCTATCAATATCTCTATGAGAGAACTCAGTCACCTCCAAGAACTTTAATGAAGGATTCTCTCTCTCTCTCTCTCTCTCTCTCTCTCTCTCTCTCTCTCTCTCTCTCTCTCTCTCTTTCTCTCTCTCTCCATATATATATATATACACTTATCTCACCTTCTTGAAGGTAAAAGAAGGATCTTCCTGGAGGATTTTAATCTCTCTGTACACACACACCTCTGTGTGTGTGTGTGTGAGAGCATAATGGGGGTATGCAGGGGAGTAGCCCACCTCCCGCAGTAGCTCTACTGGAACACACTCATCGGGCATGTGTGGGACTGAGCTCAGTTCCCCAGAGAGCTCTGGGATGAAGGACTTTAGAATGACACAGTTCCTCATGATGAGAGCTGGGGGGAAGGGGATGAGTCAAAGAGTATTGACAGCTTACTGAGCCAGGAACAGTGGCACACTCAGTGAACCTTAAAAGGGGGGACTCTACCATCTGGCACTATCTCTCCTCCCCATCTATTAATCTTATTGGGACTCTTCAAGTCTCTTCTTTAACAGCAATATTGTAAAGATAACCAATAACCAATTTTGAAAGACTTCTATAACTCTGGTCGACACAATAACCAACCACAGTTCCAAAGGGCTCATGATGAAATATATTCTCTACCTTCAGATAAAAAGCTGATGGACTCAGTACAGATTAAAGCCTTTTTTCTCTTTCTTTTCTTTGGTCATAGCTAATGCTGGAATTTGTTTTACATGATTATACATATTTGTAATGGGTTCTTGCTTTTCTTGCCTTCTCAATAGGTAGCACAGGAAGAGAGGAAGAGAGGAAGAGAGAGAATTCTGAATTAAAATTAAAATGAACTAGAAAAGCAGTTATCACCTCATAGGCCTTTCAACCAAAGCAGCATCCTTCCTCTCATTCATCCTAAAGAGGTATTATTTTTAGTTGTTATTTTCATTGGAATTGAGCAAAAACAGGAGCATGGGTGGTCCCTTGGGTCTTTCCTCCAGAAGAGTGAGTTGAGGGTGGAAGATAATTGAAAATCTGACATATCTTAGACTTCCCTGGGTTTTGTGGTGTTTTTTTTAAAAGATTAACTCTCCAGGGAATCAGACTTTCATAGGATCACAGGACCAGAGATCTAAAGGTGAAAAGGACCCAGACCCTACATAACATCTAGTCCAGTGGTTCTCAATATCTAGTCTAAGGACTGACCCCTGAGCCCAAGACCCTTTTAGGAGGTCAAAATTAATTTCATAATAACTTTAACATGTTATTTGTCTATTAAAATTCTCCTCCCTTTTATATATCAATATGAACCTGGATTTCTTTCACATACTTCAACCAAAACAATAACTCACCTAAACAAAAGCTTTTTGGGGTCCTTAATAATTTTTAAGAGTATAAAAGGGTCATGAGACCAAAAAGTTTGAGATCTACAGTCTAGTCCACCCCTTAATTTTGCAAGGGGACTTCCCAAGGTAACACAGGTAGTAAGATTCTGAGCCAGTTTTGTTTTGTTTTTGAGGCAATTGAGGTTAAATGACTTGCACTGAGTCACACAGCTAGTAAGTGCCTGAGTCCTCACTGAACTTGAGTCCTCCTGACTCAAGGACCACTGCTCTATCCACTGCTCCACCTAGCTGCCCCTGAGCCAATTTTGAAGCTAGGTTTTCTAACAACAGTCATTGCTTTTCCCATTGTGACATGATGCCTCCATTTCATTAGTGAAAAAACTGCCTCAGTCTCTGTTCTAGATGTGGTGGATCATTTGCTACAAAAAAGAAAGGATCATAGGATTATAGAATCCCAGGAAGGTTAATGACTTTCCTAAAGTCATAAGGATAGCAAGCAAAGGCAGAATTCTAACCTAGACCTTGTGACTTCAATTCTGGGATCCGTTCCATGATAATGATGCTAGTAGTAATTGTGAGAATTATTTGTTCATTCTGCACATTTATGGAGTGTCTTCTAAGTACAAGTGATTTTTTGTGTGCTAAGCTGTTCTTGAGCCATCTGTCAGTTGCAAAGCACCAAACCAATCATTTGGTATATATCGAGTTACTCTTGTACACCCAACACTGTTGAATGGAGAATGGAGTATTTGTCTTTTCCTTCTCTACCTCTCCCCACAGGGAATTCTGATTTTACTTTCTCTCCCAGAAGTTCTTCTAAGTGAAGGATCACATACCATGCTGAAGTACTTGAGAGATGCAAGACTGAGGATATAAAATGTCATTCAGATCCATCTCTTTGGTGATCCTTATCAATTTAGTCCTTAGCTGGACCATCTCAAGGCACTGGTGTGAAATAAGGATACCAGAGGGATGCTTCCTCATTGTTGAATTTATAATTAGAACTGTTCAAAATGGGAATGGGATGCTTTCTAACCTTGTTGAATTTACAATTAGAGTTGTCCAAAATGGGAATAGGGTGCTTCTTAGCATTACTGAATTTACAATTAGATAGGTCCAAAATGGGAGTGGGACACTAGTGTAGTGAGTTCCCTACAACTAGAGGTCTTTGAACAGAGTTTGGGTGACCACTTGACAGGAATGTTGTAAATGAATTTTTTCTGGCGTATTGATGGAAATAGGTGGCCTTTGAAGTTCTTTCCAAGTCTGAAGTTTTTAATTTGACCATTGTTTCTCCTTCTAGAGAGGGGCTATTGAATTTAAACCCATTTTATTTTGGTGATTTAAACCCATTTCATTTTGGTGATTTAAACCCATTTTATTCTCTCCATGTCCCTACCTACAGAAATTCCTCTCTTCCTTGAAGACTCACTTGAGATTCCAGCTCTTCCTCGAAGGTTTTGCTGACCTCCTTCCTCAGCTAAAAGTAACATTTCTCTCCTCAAATTTCTAATGTTTTGATGACTAGGTGGCATAGGGGGTAGAGCACTTGACCTGGAATCAGGAAGATCTGCATTTAAATCCTGCATTAGACATTCACTAGCTGTGTGACCCCGGCTAAGTCACTTTTGCTGTGTCTCACTTCTTTTTCATGTATATAATGAGAGGTTTAGACTCTAAAGATCTATTCCAGCTCTAAATCTATGATCCCATGACCTCTTCTTTGTCTTTATCATATTCTATGTAGTATCACATTTGTCTGTGTACTAGTCATCACGTGCGTTTGATTATAAAGTCTTAGAAAGTGTGGAATGTGTTGCTTTTCAGTGTTGTATCCACAGCACCACAGAGACAGCTTTGAGTAGCAAACAGTGGGCCAACTTTGGAATCAAGTCTGGCCTCTGATACATACTGGCTGCTATCACTGTGGGTGATTGACTTAACCTCTCAGGGCCCAGGCAACTCTTTAATACCGTAAGTTCCAAAATTACTGTATTAAAAGCTTCCTACACCAATAAGACTGTAGGTCTGGACCAAAGACAAAATAATAATCCTTAGCACCTAGCACAGGGTCTGACCCATTGCAGTCACCTAACAATAATGTTCATTGAATTCTTATCTTGGGAAAAACCCCTTCCCATCTCTGGACCTCAGTTTTCTCAAGTATAAAAGTTTGTGGCTATACTAGATGATTTCTAAGGAGTCCCTTCAGTTTTAATTCCTATGATCTTATGAAACAACCCTGGCCCAAGTAGAAGTTAAAATAAAGAAGATGTCCACTTCTAGATGCAAGATTTCTTTTTTTTTTAATTAGGTGAGTATCTAAGAACAATAGGAGAATTGCTGATAAATAAATAGACAACCAAATAAATAAAGTACTGGAGAGGAAAGTACGGGTAGGGGAGTGCTCCCAGGAGAAGCAGGGACATCTTTGCATAGTTCAGAAATGAACACTAGGTGGCAGCGATTTGAAATATGGATTCTCAGCAGAAACGCAGCATTTGCAAAAACCAATAAAGGGAAAGAGGTTTTGAGGAAGAAGAGGAACAGATTGGAAGGTGACTAACTACGTCTTCTTTTTTTCTTTTTTTAACAGAGATCGTGCTGTGAACCTTTCATCCTCTCTACAGGGGAAGAGGAACCGAGGGTTTTACATGATCTGCCGGGGCATCCCATACCCAGTCATCCCAGACTGAGATGCTCCTTTGTTGCTGCCCATCTGTAGGCCTATTACATTCTGTCCTTGGCGAAGCTGCTCTTCAGAAAACCCTCTCCGATTCTGCTGAGCTTTCCTGGACAAAGGAAAGAAGGTGAAATGTCATTATGACCAATTTCCATAGTAATATGAAACTTATTCTTATTACTTTGACCATCTCAAGATAATGTTGTTGGATAAGCTATAACATGACTTCCCAGCAGGTATATCAGAACTTATTGGCAGACTCCAAAGATTTACCTGGTATATCTCCCAGATGGCTGCCACCACCATCCTCTCTCTCCATCTCATCCCTTTCATCCCCGATTCTTATGAAAAAGTTTAGTGAAGCCTGAAGCAATACCCATCCTACCCCCACCCCCACTCCTCTCTCTCTCTTCTCTCTCTTCTCTCTCTCTCTCTCTCTCTCTCTCTCTCTCTCTCTCTCTCATATCAGTTCAAGAATTTCATTGCCAGGGCCGCCCCTAACTCAAGTCTACTCTCATTATTTTGTACCCTATAACGATCCCATTCCTTAGGGGAAATGAAAAGGAGCTTGTCCTAATTTAAAATATGGGGATCTTGGGCTAGGTTGATGATGGGTGGATCAGAGCATCTTATCTAATTCACTCACTGTAGAGATGAGGAAACAGAGATCAAGGCCAGCTAGGTGGTGCAGTGGATAGAGCACTAGGCCTGGAGTCAGGAAGACTTGAGTTCAAATCTGACCTCAGATACTTACTAGCTATGTGACCCTGGGCAAGTCATTTAAGCCTGTTAGCTTCAGTTCCTCATCTGTAAAATGAGCTGGAGAAGGAAATGACAAACTATTCCAGTATCCAAGCAAACCCCAAGTGGGATCATGAAGAGTTGGATACAACAGAGGTCATATATTTTATTAAATAGAAAGTTTGAAAGAAATTCTAGAAAGAGATGCTACTTGAGTCATGATCAAAATACATTTTGGTATTCAAACCATGGCCCATATATGCCACATCATCCCGATCAACTTTACGATAGGAAAAGGCTGGGATAATACCTGAGGATGTAAGAGATGTGAGGGGAGAACCTGAAGCTCTAGCTGGAAAAAAAGTTGGGCAAAAAAGATCACTAGATTTGGAATCTGAGGTTGTTTAGTCATTTTTCCATCATGTCCAACTCTTCATGACCCCATTTGAGATTTTCTCAGCAAAGATTCTGGAATAGTCTGCCATTTCCTTCTCTAGTTCATTTTATATATGAGAAAACTGAGTCAAACAGAGTTAAGTGATTTGCCCTGGGTCACATAGCTAGTAAGTGACTGAGGCCAGATTTGAACTCAGGAAGATGAGTCTTCCTGACTCCAGGCCCAACACTTTGTCCACTGTAGCACCTTAGAATCAGAAGACTTGGGTTCAAATCTCAATTCCACTTCTTAGTTGCTAAATAACTCAGGGCCTCAGTTTCCACATCTGTAAAATGAATGAAATCTCTTTCACTTCCAATTCTATGATCCAATGATCTTACATGTCTTCCCAAATAGCCAGCTTGCATCTGATTCCTTCATTTCGTGTCATGCTGGACAAGATGAAGGTAAGGTCCCTTCCATCTATGCAATTCCGTAATTCTGTGATCCTTGTGTGTTAGACAGAGGGAAGCATGCTGTTGGGACTAGGTAAATAACAGCCAACATCGTCAGCCTCCCTCGCTTCTCTCTGAACACCATTGTTGGCTTTGAGCAAGGTGAATTTGGGATTTTTGTTTTTTCACCTGTGAAACCATGATGGTTCTCCTCTGTAGCAGCCATCATCCTTTGTCACAGCTAAGCTGCCCAGTGCCATCAAGGTCCTCTGCACAGCAGCCATGTCCTTCCCTAGAAATTCATCAACAAAAGGATCAGATTAAAATACATTTCACAGGAAGAAACAAAGCTTTGGGACTGGAGCTCTGGTTGGGTCTCTAGAAGAAGAAGAAAAGAAGCTTTCACTGGTCATGGCAGATAGTCCTAGGGAAGGTAATGTCAAATATATAGAGTATTTCAAAAGTCTTAATACAGTTTTAAACTATTAGGGCTGAAAATTGAAATACCCTATAATTCACTACAAGTCAGTTAATCAATTAACATTTATTAAGTGCTTACTGTTTGCCAGGCACTGTGCTAAGTGTTGAGGATACAAAGAAAGGTAAAAATATAGTCCCTGCTCTAGAGGAGCTCACTATCCTATGGCAGAGACAACACACAAACACTGTACAAACAAGCTATGTATAAGATAAATTAGAAATAACAGAGGGAAGGCACTAGAATTAAGAGGGATTAGGAAAAAACTTCATGCAGAAGGTACAATTTTAGCTGAGACTTGAAGGAAGCCAAGAAAACCAGTAGGTAAAAATGAGGGGGGAGAGCATTCCTTGCATAGGGATAATCAGCAAAAAGGTAGAAAGATGGCGTCATGTCTGAGGAACAGCAAGGAGGCCAGGGTCACTTAATCACAGAGTGGGGAAGGGAGGAGGCATAGGAGGTTTATAAGGCATAAGAAGACTGGAAACGTGTGGGGGCAGATAAGTCGTGAAGGACTTTGAATGTCAGCAGATCTTATATTTGATCCTGGAGGTGATATGGAGTCATTGCTTTTTTTTGTGGGGGTTAAATGGGGCAGGAAAGGGAACATGGTCAGGATAGGAAGATGACTTTAACAGTTGAGTAGAGGAGGGACAGGAGTATAGAGAGACTTGAGATAGGCAGACCTATCAGTCAACTTACTGCAACAGTCCAAGTGAGGTGATGAGAGCCTAAAGTGAGGACAGTGTCAGAAGACAGAAGGGGGTATATTCTAGAGAACATTGCAGAGGTAAAATCAGCAGGCCTTGGCAACAGACTGAATATAGAGGGTGAGAGAGAGAAAGGGGAGGTGAGGATGACACCTACATTACAAGATTGGGTGACTGGCAAGCCCCCAAGTCCCAGGGATAGTTCCAACAGAAAGTATTTCTGAGGTTAAAAGCTTCACAAATTGGATGGGACTGCCTGGATTGAGTAAGTAGCACATTCCAGTCACTGAGTAAGAAATCCTAATCAGTTCACAGTCACTGGGTCATTCTAATTAGTTCACAGTCACTGATTCTAATCAGTTCACAGTTGTTGTGTGGATAATACATTCCAAATAATTAGCAGGTGGCAGGGCTAACACATTCCAGTTCCTTTCCTGAGCGCAGGGTCTCCATTCGCCTTGACATGTTTCTAAGACAATAGATCAGGGGTGGGGAACATGCGGCCTTGAGGGCACTTGTGGCCTTCTAAGTCCATGGGTGTGGGCAGTCTTTTGACTGAGTCCAAGTTTTACAGAACAAATCTTTTTATTAAGGGGATTTGATCTGTGAAGTTAGGATTCAGAGGGCCATATTTGAGGACCTAGAGGGCCACATGTGGCCTTGAGGCTCTAGGTTCCCCACCCCTGCAATAAATCATAGATTGAGAACTAGAACAGGCCTCAGAGGTTGCCTAGGCCAACACCCTCATTTTAGAGATGAGGAAATTGAGGCCCAGAGAAGTTAAGTAATCTGGTCTGAGGTGGGGGAAAGTCTATCCATTTAGTGGCAGGCATAGATGCCTCTGGCTGATAATTTAATAGTAACAATAGCTGCCAATTAGGTCTAGATCCCCAAAGAGATAAAAGAAAAAGGACTTATATGATAATAAGATCCATGTAATAATAATAATGAGAGTAAATACAACAAACAACTTTTATTATGGTGGCAAGGAACTAGAAATTAAGTGAGCTCCCTTCAATCGGGGAATGGTGGAACAAACAATCACATATGAATGGAATAGAGTATATTGTGCTGAAAGAAATGATGAACAGGAAAGGCATGGTTTCAAAGAAACCTGGGAAGACTTATATGAATTGATGCAAAATGAAGTGAGCAGAAGTGGAACAGTTTATAGTACAACAACAACAACAACACTATAAAAATGAACTTTGAAAGATTTAAGAATTCTGATCAATGCAGTGACGAATCGTGATTCCAGAGGAGTGGTGAGAATGCTACCTGTCTCCTAATAGAAAGGTGATGGACTAAATAGACAGAATGAGACACACACTTTCGGATATGGTCAAAGTGAGAATTTGTTTTGCTTAATTATGTATATTTGTTTGTCTTATCTTTTTTATTTTCCCAATGGAAAGATGGGGAGGAGCCTGAGAGGAAAAAATAAATACTCATTAATTGAAAAAAATTCTAGAAAGAACACCTAAAATACTAACTAATAACTCATCTTTATAGACTGTTTGCACTGCATTTTCCTCACCCTGAGTAGTAGGTAGTGCAAGGCTTATTGTCACCATTTTACAGACGTGGTAATTAAGGCATAGAGTGGTGAAATGATTTGCTCGTGGTTACATAGCTATGAGGGGCAGCTAGGAGATGCAGTAGATAGAGTGCCAGACCTGGAGTCAGGAAGACTCATCTTCCTGAGTTCAAATCTAGCCTCAGACACTTCCTAGCTGTGTGACCCTGGGCAAGTCATTCGACCCTATTTGCCTCAATTTCCTCATCTGTAAAATGAACTGGAGAAGGAAATGGCAAACCACTCCAGTACCTTTGCCAAGAAAACCCCAAATGGGCTCACAAAGAAAAGGATGAGACTGAAATGATTGAACAAAAAAGAGACATAGATTAGGTGTCAGGGACATGATTCAAACCCAGTCTTCTGCTTCCAACTATAGCACTCCTTCTACTACAACAAGGTGTGACTCCTCCCTTAAAGAAGGGCACTGCTCCAATGACTGATAACGGGGAGAAAAAATGTAACTGGAGTGATTGGCTCAGCTCACATCGTATAGAGAAATCCCAGGAGGCTTCTGGGGTCTACCTATCTTGGATTAAACTTTAAAAGGTCTATCCATCTATGTACATGAAACTGAGGATTTATTTGTTATTCTGTGAATACACTTTTGGATTTATATAAATCCTGTGTGTGTTGGTAAGTTAATTCCTAGATGCTTAAAGCATTTAGTTGTTATCTTATATAGGTTTTTAATTTTATTCATCTGACTCCAAGGCCAGATTGGACCAGACAGAAAGAATTCATTGAGATCCAAGGATTGACTCCTCTAGTTCATGTTGCTTCGAGAGAGCTGAACAATGCAGACAATAAATAACTGATGCTTGTGTGTGTGGTGGGGGTGGAGGAGGGAGGTAATTTGAGAAGCTGAGTGACCTCTGAGCAGTAGAAGATGTGGTTGGAGAGAGTAGCCTGTTCTCCTCCCCCCCCCACCCCTACTCCTTCCCCTTGCCTTCCCTGATGACAGATGGGCCCAGTGTTGGGGGAGATGTATGGTGAAACTCATGTGATGTTTACAGCAAAGTGAGCAGCACAAAAGAGGGATGTAGTGGAAAGATGAGGAGGACAAAGATTAAAAGGGAAGGCCTGAGTCTGCTGGCCACAGTGTTGAAAGTTTAAAGGCAGGTATTAAAATACCCTCTTTATATCCAGGGTTTCCAAATCTGGCTACTGTGACTCAGTCTTTGGGGAATACAGAATTACAGGGAAAAAACAGATGGAAAGGGAAAATGGAATTTGGAGTTTGAAATGTGGTAGAATAAACAAGGTACCATATAGGAAGTCCAGTTCAAAATTCTCATTTATTTAAGGAGAGACAGGTACTCTCCTATCCCAAATAGTGGATCCTGAGGCCCAGTAACATTAACATATTGTTGTCTTCAAAAATGAAAAGTGATCTTTGAAGAGATGTTGAAACTTGACAAAGTGTTGTGATGGCAGAGAAAGGACTGTGTGGGCAGTCATAGAAAGAAAGGAAAATTCAAGGGATAACAAGGCAACATGGAATAGTAAATAGAGAGGTAGGCTTGGAGTCAAGAAGACCTCAGTTCAAACCAGCTTTTGATATTTACTACCTATGTGATCTTGGACAAGTCACTTACTCTGTATGTGCCTTAGGGACCACCCTTGGATTACTGGATGAGAGCTAGCAGGGTATTTAGAGGTAGGTCATTGATCCTCTCCAGAAGAGGAAACTGAGTCTCAGAGAGGTTAAATAATATGGTCCCAGACTTGTCTAAGTCATAAACTGGATGCTTTCTTCATTGGTGGAGAGAGTTTTCATACTGTGAGTTCCCCGCACTACCAAAATCACAGATACTTCCCGAATTTGTATGGAAATATAGGAGGAACATAGAGACAGAAATTTCTTAAAAGAACGCCCAAAGATAGTAAACCTGACTGAATTTTGGGATATTTGTTGGTACAGGGACAAATAGTATTAAAAGAAGAAAGAATGAGACTGTTAAAGGCAAAGACTTATCATGTGATGATTTGACACCTGGGACAAAGATAGAATCAAGAAGATCTCAGCAGGCTCTAATGAAAAATGAGGAGGCAATTTTAATTACTAATTTCTCTGCGCTTAAAGCAAGACCAAATTAGTTATATTTTAATTGAACTAGACTTTCCCATCACCAAGGCAACTGCTTCAGCCTGACTGTATATTTTAGCTTTCAAAAAATTGCCTCACCCAGCTCATCATAGACAAGGAGGGGAATTGTCCTTCATCTCTTGAATGGAGGGTGACTATCCCTGACCTGGCTATCCTTGGCTTTATCATTTTAAATATATTTTAACAAGAAATAAATAAGATCATGAGATCATAGGTTTACAGCTGGGAGGGACTTTGGGTGTCATCACATCCAAATTTCTCATTTACGCATGAGGAAACTGAGTTTCAGAGGTGAAGGAACTTGCCTAGGGTTACACATCTGTTAACTCTTGGAAGTAGGGTTTTAACACAAATCTTTCTGGCTCTTATCCATTGCACCCAGCTAACTTTGCTTTGTCATTATTATCCCTCTAACTTC